GCACCACACGAAGCAGTTACTTGGCTGCCAAGGAAGCGAGTGTGGCGCTTTCACGACGAAAGGTGCGCTGGTTGCTGAGCAGGACTTCGAAAGCACTCCGCCCCCAAAGCGATCCGCCCACAGTTTACTTGTTGATTTGGACGAGCTGCGTGGCCAGCAGCGGCGCAAATGGAGCATCTCGATTGAAGCGTGATTTGGCATGGTGCCATCAAACGCGTTGCGGTGAACTCGTTCATACGTCCACTTTCTGAGCTGTTACCTGTTCATGAGTGAAAACCAACGGCCAAAAAAGGGGTCCCGTTTTGCGTTTTCTTGACGGATTTTTCTGCTTTTTTCGCCACTGGCGTACCATTGAGCACCACCACGTCACACTAACCTTCTTGAATTTTTCGTAATCGCTGCCTTTAAGTCGGCCTACGTGATAAGAAGTCCAGTCCACGAGAATGACTACATTACTTCATTACTAAAAAATTTCCCCTAGAACATGGCAAAATCAATCAGGCATGCACTTCAAACTTAGTAGACTTCTTCTTAACATTCCACTAAATTTTCAACGCCTCGGATGTAAAAAAAATTAGGCTAGATTCAAAGGTATAGAGCGTTAAAGGCAGAATTCACGATGAAAAAGCAACCCATTTCAAATTAACCTAGGGATGGTGAGTGGTACACGAAAGAAGGAAGAACCATGAGAAACGGCCCAGAACCCGAGAAATGGGACCCCTTCCTTGCCCGTTGATTTCCGCATTGATGCGACTCTCATCGTGCCCTCTTCAACGCTAACGCTCTCTATGTCGGTGGGCGTACCGCGCCAACTGCGCCAAGAGTGAGCCATGCTAGATCCAGAGGTCAAATCTTTCGCTGCCAATTGCGTGTCTGTCCGCATCAAGGATCCGCCTGTCTCCCCACTAGGCAATTTCTCCCTTCTTCGACCTTCGTTCTTATCGTGCAATCCTCCTTTAAAGGACGAATTCACGATGAAAAAGCAACCCATTTCAAATTAACCTAGGGATGGTGAGTGGTACACGAAAGAAGGAAGAACCATGAGAAACGGCCCAGAACCCGAGAAATGGGACCCCTTCCTTGCCCGTTGATTTGAGCATTGATGCGACTCTCATCGCTGTGCCCTCTTCAACACTACGCTCTCTCAGCTATCTAATCACTCGCCACGTATTGAACTACGGCGAGTGATCAGATGGGCGGAGATCGCCGGACCCGCCAGCTTTGAGGCATGATAGGTCGCCGAGGTCAAATTTTTCCATGCGAATTGCGCGTCAGTTCGCACCCTCAGGAGGTCCGTGGGTCCCTCAACTAGGTCAGTTTCCCTTTCTTCGACCTTCATTCTAATCGTGAATTCCTCCTTTAAGTATCTAGTTCTAGAAGAACAAAGCAAATTTGAATGGCCAACAACGGAATGTTCGGAAAAGGTAATGATCAAGTAAAAGGAAGTAGGGTGAATATCACTAATCGATTCCTCCTGGGGATAGAGTCAGAGACTAGTCGGTTTGGCTAATTTCCGTTGACTGAATCTCCCATTTTGCAGGCCTTAAATTCATGATTTCTGCAATGAAACTACAGGAATGCGAAGATGTGGGAGCGAAGCATTCTCAAGAAATTACCTACTCTCTCACAGGGTGATAGAATGGTATATGACACGAAGTAAAAATATGAAATTTTAGTAGGAAGTTCTCTACACACTATGAATGTGGGCAACCGCAACCCATTACCAAACTCTTTCAAACGAGGCATTTTTCAATGAACCTCTGTACGTTCGTTGAAAAATCTCATCTAGTAGCAAAACCGATAGAAGACATTCAGCGACATGCAATCACATGCTTGAATGTACACTGTCTCACCTCTCTACAGTATTCCATTGTAATCCTTCATCATGTCCTCCGAGGGCGTATAAACAACCATCAAGCACGGCAACAGCAACCCCTGCTCTAGATTCCCGCATGTGTCCCACAAAGAACCATTCGTTTCGTCGAACGTCATACCTAGCAACAATCCACATAATAACATGAGTTAGATTGTGAGACATCTGCCCCTACCGTTCAACAGCCGACATACAATCAACAGTGCTAGTTCCACCCACTACGTAAATAGAACCGTCAAGTACAGCCACACCACATGAGTAGTGTGTTTGAATGGTTGGAGCAACGTCATCCGACCACTGGTTCGTAGCAGGATCAAATCTGAAAATTTACTTTTGTAGAACCGACGAGGATTTAGTTATCCCTTATTAAGTTCTAGGAAAGATACTACAGTATGAATTGCAGCTGAACTTTTGCGTTGTGACCTCTTGTTGGATGAAATCGTCAACATCCACAGCTTCAGAAACAATTTCAAAAACACGGGAAATGAGATTTGGGACCTTGACACTCGTATGCCCTACAAGAAAAAGATTGCATCGCAACATGCAAACACAAAAGTTTATTTGCTTCGGAATTGAGTGAAAACGGTCATGTGATTTCATTCAGCAGCTTCATAGCGAGAACCTGTTAGGATCTGTCGCAATACGCGAATGTGGTCCCGGCGCACCGCGCGCTTGAGGCTCTGCCGCGTTCCTTGCCCGTGACCGCGTGGCATACACCGGCTCTAGGGGCACGCTCCGCCTCCGGTCCCGCCTCCAGCCGAGACTACTTGTAATTAGGCTGGTGTCAGAGTCCGCGATCTGTCGCAAGTTTCGCAGGTTTCGCGCGATTAACGCGATCCTAGCGACTTACGCGATTTACGCGATTCACGCGACGAGTCACGGAAATCACAAGTGCCCGATCAATACTGCAAGGTGTT